TTACCAAAAGTACTTGGACCACAATGAAAATAAACAAACAAAAATCTCTTATTTCCCCCTCTCTCCACCTCTTTATCCAAACTCTAATGCCATCCAAACCCCCATGCATATGAACAGCAAAACAGACGATTTAAGACACAAAAATGTGGAGTTCTTTAAATCATGGAATGAGCAGGATCTTCATTCACTGTTCTTCAGTTCCAGAATATACAGTACATTCACCAAGAGTAGGAAAAAAAAGTAATGTTCACAACACCTCTTAAGTTCTCTTTTTTAAAATTTAAAAAACGGAAACGCATCCTTCATTAAAACAGTTCCATCAATAATTTTAACATTTTATTCTGAGGTTTCGGGGCGCAAAAGCCATCCAGGGTTCACGAGAAGATGCAGAAATCAGACTTTCTGTTGCTCCCCAAGGCTGCCAGACCTAATTTTTATTGCTGTAGGCTTGATTCCACCCCCCACCCGCCGCTTTTTAAAAATCTCATTGCTCAAAACTTTTCAGTTTCCTTTTTGGGTCATGCTCAAATCTGGAATGGAGGATTAAATTCTAGAGCAATCTTGATGACTTTAAGATGGGTGGACTTCAGCTCCCAGAATTCCCCACTCACCTATCATAAAGTCGCCAAGGTTGTGAAACTCTACTCGAGAGGAATTATTTGCAAATTGTAATATAGAAAAAAAGGGAAAATGTTATTTTGATTGCTAATTGAGCAACTTATTTATGACAGTTGTACCTAAAATATAATTGGCTAAAGGAGAATGCAATAAATCACTGACTGAGGGCATGAAAAAAAAATCAAGCACCACTGATTTAAAGGAATTCATATTCTCACAGGGTATTCCTAGCAATGCTTCCACGGTTACGTGAATCTACAAAAGCATCTCTATGCCATAAAAAGAAAATACTACTATTATTGTGTGAGAAAGCAACATTTCCCCCCCCCCAGAGGAAGATTGCTATAGAATTGCTGCAATAAATCTGTCAAATAATGTGCTGTGTAGTGCTGCCTTTCACAACACTGAAGTGTCTTCTTAAAAAAAATAGGGGGGAAAAAGATAAAGAATGGAATTTCTAAAGCGTTTAGCAGAACCAGCCAACCGGTATTTTTTTTCTTAAATCCTCTTTGGTGGATAGCATGGTTTCCATTGATTTCAATGGAAGCTAGAGGGGTAGAAAAAAACAACCTAACAGAGATAGGCCTACGGACTTATTCATTAACTTGAATGAAAGAACAGCTTTGACATTCCAACTGGAACCCTTCGGCCAAAACACTAAAATTCCAACTGAGTGAGAGCTCGGCATGTTCACAGCCAACAATCTGCTAAACCTCCTCTAGAATTGGAACAGTTTTCCCTGCTACAGCATTATAATATCAGATACAAACCAGTGAAAGGTGTACCATGGCTCAGTGGAAGAGCACATGCGTACTCTGTAAAAAGTCCCAGGTACAGGTCTCACAATCCCTTGGAACAGTTGAGGACAAACTGAAATCCTACAAAGTTGATTTTTGAGCAAAAGATATTACATATGAACAGCTTCCTATGTTCCTAAGCTCAGTCTCCAGTTAAGAAAGGAACATCCAAGTGGTGGGAAATCAGACAGACTGAAAATTCCCCAAACTGCTGCCACCAAGAGTAGGTAACAGGTGAAATGGGCTATCAAAATTGAGGTGGTGTAAGATAGATTTCTTACGTTGCCCTTAAAATATCCACAGCATGTCTATATCCCATATAAATCAGAGGAGGTAACCATAGTATAGTAGCTGCATTTAAGACTGCATCAAAGAAACAAAATTGGATTTAGACAGCAACAATCCGGGGGGAAAAAACCTTAACTCACCTAAAAATTTATATCTGCACCAGCTCCAAAGATGATGCTGATTATCCAGTTCGCAAAGCTAGAGCACTGATCACAGAGCTTGTTTGGCACAGATGTACTTTCATCCCTCTTACAGTATAATAGGTTTTTATATATATATACATACATGTAGTGGTGAAATGTTACCCCCGTTTACCAGACTATTAAATCTTTCTCAATGCTGTTGGTTTAACACTGATTCAAATTTGCATTTTTTCTGAACTTCAGCATAAGTACCTCAAAAAAGAAATGAGTGCAGGTTGAAGTTGCTTGGAATATAATTTTTTTTAAAAAATCACCAAGCTTTTGTTTCCAGGCACCTACTGCTTTAATACGATGTTATAATTCACCAGAGAGGGAAAAGATAATCAAAGAAAGCACCACTACCATCCAAATTAAAACTGGCTTACACTTCATCTAGGCAAGGTTTCTATCCCAACTATTAACTCAGATACCTTTCTTGAAAGGTAGACTGCAAATTATTCTAGGCAAAGCCATGGGCTTTTTTCCCCTTACGTTTTATGGCAAAGCACCACCCATACTGACAGAGCTACAGCAAATGGTTATTTCAAATATCCGAAATGTGGTCTCTCTCTCTCTCTCTGCAGATCACAGCAGCCTAATTTACATTTAAAGGACTAATTTGCAGGACGACTTAGAGCAGTAAGTTATGTGATCTGTACTCTCTTCGTACAGCTTGAATACTTGCCCTCTTGAAAGATATGCAGTAGAACCTGTCTATAGGCAAACCATTTTACCACTTTGTGGTCAGAAGGAATATGTATATATTAAAGAGGTCACTGCAACCCAAAAAAGGTCCTGGAAGAGTCGTGAAAGCTAAAATTTTAGCCGGAGTGGATTATGCTGAGAAGTTTGCAGTTCTCACTCTTAATGGCACATCTAAAACATATTGGAAGTTCCACTGAATGGGTCATGCCTAAGCTCAACGTGGCTTAGAGCTAAGTGTCACTCACTAGCTTTTTTTTTAGTTTTAGTTAGTTACTCCTGACTGAATTTCAGAGGGGGAGAAAGAAAGTAGAATGTCCTTCCATTCTTTCCAATACAGTCCTCTTAAATTGGGTCCCTTCCCTGGATATGATACCTACATCCATATAGATTTCCCTCCTATGTCACTGGCATCTGTCCATAAAAAGAATTCCCAGGAGGGTATGGTTTTACTATATTTTATGGTAGGGGATGACCTGGGCATAGATGTGTATTTTAACTGGCAAGCCATTCACACACAGATAGAAACTAAAGTTTCTTTCAACAAGGGAGGGCAAAACAGCAGCAAAACATCCCACATAGGTTTCTTATGAAAGGCTTCAAAAAGGATGAAAGCCCTCTGAATCTAGTACAAAACTCTGTGGTTATGACTAAATATCCAATGAGGTTTGACCAAAAAAATCCTGAATACTACGAGTACATTAGCCAGCAGATTAATTTGCGGTGCTGACTGTATAAAATGTGTCACCAGTATACAGCAGAGATCATAGGGCTTCAGGTCCTTTTTCTAGATTAATTCTAGCAGGGACCCAGACTAGCAATTAAGGGGCAGGCAGATGTTCTCGACTTCCATTAGACCCGTCTTTGTGTTTTAGGAATGGCCAAGACTGTACACAATTAACAGCAAGAGAGATTCCAAGAATAAGAGACAGCTTATTCTCTATAATCTAGCAATTACTTAAAGGAATTGCATTACTCCTTTCAACCATTTTTCTCCCAAGAAATCAAGCTGGGGGTTTTGGAACACCAAACCAGGGTAACTGTAATGTTGATCTATTATACACTAATTTCTCTCAAATTGGAATATTCTCAGTAAAGCAGTGAAGTAACTCTTTGGAGAGAGAGAAAAACTAAACTATCTGCCTTTCTTTAAAAATGGCTGCACCAAGTGTTTCCTTTATTAAAGATTAAGTTGTAAGCAGCTCTATTTAGAGAAGTGCAAGAATTTACAAGAGGGCTTTGTTGTATTCTAATTCTGCACTTTATCTTAATTTTTACAGATTTACAGAAACTTCCCAATGGGTTGGATGCTCTGCCCCTGCCTTATACATTAGGGTCTTCAGCCAAATATGATCATCTTTAAAAGCCCACTTTAGCAAGCCAACTGCATTTTTTTCAGGGGGGAAAAAAGGTTTCAAGTAGTTGTGAGAATTTCAAAACTTTTCCATACTTTCTTGCTTTGACTTTGTACATCTTTCTCAGGTTAACACCAATTTGGGGTTTTTTAATTTATTTTTAAAATAGGACCTCTCATCTACACACTTCTGCCCTTCTTTTCCCCCCCAAATACGAATTGGTTCTCTAAGGCTGGGAAAAAGACATAGCATTTTGAATTAAATTTGTTCAGGAGTTGCTCACAAATAAAGCAGCCCTTCAGTTGATTATGCCGAGCTTCAGCTCAGCGGTCACCCAACCAGACAAAACGAACCATAATACCATAAAAAAGTGAATAAATTTGAATGGCAAACTAGACTCTTTATTGGGAGCTACTAATGCAGCTCGGAGACCAAATCTTGATTGAGCATGCTGCTAATCTGATACAACATCGAACTATATATTACAGTATTCAGTTAAGAAGTTACACCCCAAAGTGATTTTTTTCCTCCAGTTTTAGAACTAAGTGTTCTAAAGGGCACATCAAGTAGGGGGTTGTCTTTAAAATATTATCTATCTATCTATCTATCTATCTATCTATCTATCTATCTATCTATCTATCTATCTATCATCTATCTATCTATCTATCTATCTATCTATCTATCCATCCATCCATCCATCCATCCATCCATCCATCCATCCATCCATCCATCCATCCATCCATCCATCCATCCAATTGTACATATTACTAGAAGTTCATATATATCCATACGAGCAAACCTCCAGACTCTGCAAACTTTAGAAATAATGAACAAAAGTCATCCGCGGCTAGCCAAAGTATGCATACTCCTTCAAAATGGCCATTAAAGATGCAACATTTATGCAATTTAATCAAATGCAAACCAAAACTGTAACCGACTGAACTTCTGCTTCCATCTGTGCATGTGTCAACCTGCCTGCAAGTTGCGTGTCGATCATCCAGTGCAAGCAAGAGGGAGAACTCACAAGCGCTATCCTTCTGGTTGAACACCTTATCCTAAACTGTCTTGCCTCCAAGAATATTGTAATAAATAAGGCAAGACCACACAGCCCTTGAGCTCTGCTTCTTTGTTTACAGTTTACAAGGGTTTTTGTTTTTTTTTAAAGGAAGTAGTACAAACCCAAGATTTACCCAAGCCAACTTCTTTCTTCAATTGGAAGAGCTTTTGGCTAAGCAATTGGTGATGCAGTGTAAGGAACACAGGTGTTGTCAGAAAACTATTTTAATTATTTACAGAATGATCATTGGAAGGATTACATAAAATACAGAAGAAAAATGTACACCTCTAACAGAAACGAGAAAAAATGATGTTGAGTGAACTCACAGACTACCGGGTAACAAAAGCACTTAAATAAGGCAAACAAGGAACAAAAGGGGGGAAAAAAATCACAAAGACTACATGGGAAATAAAACAGAAATGCAAATTGAGGTTTTGTGTTTTTCAAATGGAAAAGTTAAAAAAAAAATCAAGATGCAAAATAGTTGATGTTCCCACTAGCAAAATTTTGCTCACGCCAGCAGCCATTATTAGAATTACTGGTGCATTCAACCTTCTCTAACATAGCCTGAAACTTGCCACTTCCACAACACAAACTTCCCAGCGCTGATGGGAATGCCATCTTTGCGAAGTTTCACATTTTATCGCCTACAAATACACACTGGGTTGCGGCGTGTACAGTTTAAAATTGTGCAAGACCAGGGAAAGTTGTTCTGCCCCCCCCTCCAACTCAGGAGGTTACGCTGCAGCACTCGAGATTCAGTTTTGCTGCCAGTGCATTTTGAAGTCAACTCCCTTGCAAGAGAGAGTTTCTTAAAAAAGGGATTTTGAGCCTTGGTTTTCAAATTCTGACCACGCATCGTTCAGCTCCATGAAGATCATTTTGGCATAGTCCTCATAAGGCTGCCCCGTAGCCTGTAAACACACAAACAAACAAAACACTGAATCGCAATGCAACTGTTCAACTGTAAAAGCAAGCTTAACTTGCATCACAAGCAATTAGCTTTACTTCTGGAGTTAAGAAGAAATCCACGGGAATATTACCATCTGAACACTGAGTTACTATATTCACAATTCTATTTTTTTTTTCCAAAGAAGGATGAGTGCACTGAACGAGCTCTGAACTGGGTTTTTTTTTCTCAGTGGGACATGATCACCCCAATTGCCCATGAGAGAAGGACAAGAACAGTTTTGAGTTCAGATGTCAATATGGAACCACATGCCACTTAGGACAACTACTGTATCTGAATGAATTCCCCTTCCTGTTCCAGAAACAGTCGACAGGTAGTCCTTGACTTACAACCCTTTGAAGTTCTGACAGACCTCCCCCCAAATTACTTATGATCCAGTTCTGAAGTTCTGAAAGCTGCATCCCCCCCCCATTATGTGACTGCATTTTGGGCACTTGGCAACTAGCCCACCCAGTGGTGGGACTCAAATATGTGAACAACCAATTCTCTGGGTGGATGCCACTTCTGGAAGTCCGTTGCGGGCCTGGGCAACAAAAAATTAGCCACTGGTTCTGCCAAACTGGTGCGAACTGGCTGAATCCCACCACTGAGCTCACCTATATGGCATTTTTGCAAAAAAAAAAAAATAATCATTCACATCTGGTTGGGAAAGTTGGAATGGGCAAGTTCCATTAAGGTTCTTAAGTCAAGGGCTACTTATAGTCAAGAAACTTTGCTTCCTGAAGCAACCACCACAAGGCAGATGACAGCAACTAGCCTACCTTTGTGCACAATTCCATAAACTAGGAAGATCTGACGAAGCACTTCTATGATCCACTATAATTTTGTTTCTATGGCAGCAAAGTATGCTTGTTTTTAAGTACTGCATGCGCAAAGCAATGACAGTTATCGTAGCAGAGAGCAGGGTGCAGTTTAACTTTTGACAACAGCAGTGAGTGTGTGTGTGGGGGGGTAGTCATAATTCAAAAACAAGTCATTAGTATCTTTTTTTGAAGATGGCCATTAAACAACCGGTTGTAAGTTAAGGTCTACCTGTAATTAGCATTCATGTGAACAATTTTACTCTATCCGCACGTGAGTATTTACCAAACACTCACCTTATCTGGATGAACGACAAGCGCTGCTTTTCTATAGTACTTTTTCACCTGGTCAGGGGTAACCAGGTCTGCCATCCCAACTGGCTTCCATTTGGTTTCACCTTCCCAAAGCACAGTGTGAAGAGTAGAGAGTAAAGCTCTTATATTCCTCTCTTTTCCGTCAATCCAGTCTAGAAGCTAGCAAAGGAAATGGGAAGGAGGGAAATTCAGCTAAGCCAAATGCTGCACAACATTTAACTGACATAATTTCCTTTTATCGTTACACATAGCAATATTTATTCTCTAACAATGTCATACGCAATGATTTAATACTCTCTTTCTAATAGGCACTGACCTACTTTACTGTTAATGAGTTCACAACTGCTTCCGTTTTAACTATTATAGCACCGGGCTAATCTCCGCTTAGCCTCACCACTTTTTAACATACAGAAGCTTTTACACATTTGTTTTTCCTGTCAATGCACCTACTGGCTCAACCCCACCTGTGCCAATCCTAAGCCAGTTACACTCCCAGTCCCTTTTCTCACAATGGATGTTGCTTACATTGATAGATGTGCTTTTCAGGATCTTTCCTGGCTTTGCTATTTGACTTCCCTTTAAGGAAGATGCTAAGGGCAGAACCTGAGATCTCTTATGCCAGTGATGGCGAACCTTTTAGAGACCGAGTGCCCAAACCGCAACCCAAAACCCACTTATTTATCGCAAAGTGCCAGGGCCACATTGTGGTGCCCTCGGGCGCCTCTGAGTACTGCCTCTGGCATGCAAAAACTGGGGGCACAAAAATGGGCCACCGTGTTGCAAGGAGCAAAAATGGCCGTCGCACCGCGGGGTGCAGATACAAGGTGCTGTACCACGCAAGAACGGGGCAGGGCTAGTGAGTATCATGCAGGCACTAGCCCTGCCCCATTTGCAGCACATGCATGCTCGCGGCCCCGTGCATGCATGCATGCAAAATGCTTCCTCCTCCCTTTTCTTCCAGTCCACCAATCGACAATGGTTGGTGACCTCTGCTCTACACCACCTCTACTCGAGCTTGCTAGTCGGCCACTTTGTCTCCTTTGTGCTGGGCGGGGCTCCTGCTCCAGGTGGCGGTGGTGGCCTGATGGACCTGCTGCTGCTGCTGGTGGCACGTGTGCCAACAGAGAGGGCTCTGAGTGCCACCTCTGGCACGCGTGCCATAGGTTTGCCACCACTGTCTTATGCCCACTAAGACATCCACCCTCCTTCCTACTGCACTTTATTCTGCACTCTTTGCCTCCTATATTGCAAATTCATTGGCACGGCCTACAGTTCATTTCTTGGCTGAAAACACAGCAAGAATCTGAAGCAAAGGGAAATGTTCAGCACAAATGCTACACACCTTTAATTTTAGAGGATCCATATCTTTAGATAGTTCTTGCTTTCTCATTTCAGCAATTGTTTTGGGTCCCTTTCTGTCAGACTTTGCTGAAAAGCCTTGATTTGACAAGAGGTCTTCAAAATCATTTTCTGAAACTTTGGGTTTGTGTCCTGGCAAAGAAGAAAAAAGAAGCTAGGCATTTTCCTGTTAATAGAAGATTTACACAGAAATGACAGATTTGTTATTCGTTACTCATGTTGGTCATTAATAAGCCATTATCTTTTAGGAAACTGTTATATCTCCTTGCTTAGAAACAAATCCAACTTTTTTTTCAACAGGGCTTATTCCTGAATTAGTGTGTTCCCTTGATGCAGATTAAGGGAAAACCAGTAACTTGCTAGACTGCTATCTTCCTTATAAGGCCACTAGATGTTACAAGTCAATACAATCAGTTACTTAATTCGTAACTTACATGTTTCCACTTAAGAATCTGAGCATAGCCCAGAAATGGAAACGGATGGAAACTAATCAAGGAGAGAAACAACCTAGAACTAAGGAGAAACTTCCTGACAGTGAGAACAATTAACCAGTGGAACAACCTGCCTCCAGAAGTGGTGAATGCTCCAACACTGGAAGTTTTTAAGAAGAGACTGGACAGCCATTTGTCTGAAATGGTATAGGGTTTCCTGCCTGAGCAGGGGGTTGGACTAGATGACCAAGGTCCCTTCCAACTTTATTATTATTATATATTATTATTAACGGTGAGATCTTGGTTTAAGGATTTCATCATAGCTACATACTGATTAGATAGCATCAGCTAAGTAAACATTCCTACAGTGAAGGAAAAAAGTATTTGATCCCTTGCTGATTTTGTACGTTTGCCCACTGACAAAGAAATGATCAGTCTATAATTTTAATGGTAGGTTTATTTTAACAGTGAGAGATAGAATAACAACAAAAGAATCCAAAAAAACCCGCATTTCAAAAAAATTATAAATTGATTTGCGTTTTAATGAGTGAAATAAGTATTTGATCCCCTATCAGCCAGCCAGATTTCTGGCTCCCAGGTGTCTTTTATACAGGTAATGAGCTGAGATTAGGAACGATCTCTTAAAGGGAATGCTCCTAATCTGAGCCCGTTATTTGTATAAAAGATACCTGTCCACAAAAGCAATCAATCAATCAATCAGATTCCAAACTCTCCACCATGGCCAAGACCAAAGAGCTGTCCAAGGATGTCAGGGACAAGATTGTAGACCTACACAAGGCTGGAATGGGCTACAAGACTATCACCAAGCAGCTTGGTGAGAAGGTGACTACAGTTGGCACGATTATTCGCAAATGGAAGAAACACAAAATAACTGTCAATCTCCCTCGTTCTGGGGCTCCATGCAAGAGCTCACCTTGTGGAGTTGCAACGATCATGAGAACAGAACTACAAGGGAGGATCTTGTCAATGATCTCAAGGCAGCTGGGACCATAGTCACCAAGAAAACAATTGGTAACACACTACGCCGTGAAGGACTGAAATCCTGCAGCGCCCGCACGGTCCCCCTGCTCAAGAAAGCACATGTACAGGCCCATCTGAAGTTTGCCAATGAACATCTGAATGATTCAGAGGAGAACTGGGTGAAAGTGCTGTGGTCAGGTGAGACCAAAATCGAGCTTTTTGGCATCAACTCAACTCACCATGTTTGGAGGAGGAGGAATGCTGTCTATGACCCCAAGAACACCATCCCCACGATCAAACATGGAGATGGAAACATTACACTTTGGGGGTATTTTTCTGTTAAGGGGACAGGACGATTTCACTGCATCAAAGGGACGATGGACCATCAAATCTTGGGGGAGAACCTCTTTCTCTCAGCCAGGGCATTGAAAATGGGTCGTGGATGGGTATTCCAGCATGGCAATGACCCAAAACACACAGCCAAAGCAACAAAGGAGTGGGTCAAGAAGAAGCACATCAAGGTCCTGGAGTGGCCTAGCCAGTCTCCAGACCTTAATCCTGTGGAAAATCTGTGGAGGGAGCTGAAGGTTCGAGCTGCGAAACATCAGCCTTGAAACCTTAATGACTTGGAAAGGATCTGCATAGAGAAGTAGGACAAAATCCCTCCTGAGATGTGTGCAAACCTAGTAGCCAACTACAGGAAACATCTGACCTCTGTGATTGCCAACAAGGGTTTTGCCACCAAGTACTAAGTCATGTTTTGCAAAGGGGTCAAATACTTATCTCACTCATTAAAATGCAAATCAATTTATAACTTTTTTGAAATGCGTTTTTCTGGATATTTTTGTTGTTATTCTGTCTCTCACTGTTAAAATAAACCTACCATTAAATTATAGACTGATCATTTCTTTGTTCAGTGGGCAAATGTACAATATCAGCAGGGGATCAAATACTTTCCCCCCCTCACTATATTCATTTACTTCTCTCAGTCTACACCTCTAACATTGGCAGTGTAATGGATCTATATTGGTGCAATTAGTACCAGGATTCAACCCTTTACTATATTCAGAGAATGACTCGGTGACCTTGGCTCAACCATTATGGAAGATGTGCTTTGAAGCTGAGAGCCCAATCCTCTATTAAAGCAGGAGTAGACAACCTGTAGTACTCCAGGTATTGTTGAATTTCAACTGTCAGCAGGCCTCACCAATGGTGAGCAAAGGTGAAGGATGATGAAAAAGTTCCCAGCCAAAGAAAAAAGTTTCATTCTACTGACCAGAAAAGACTCTATATACATCTACCCTCCTTGCATTACCTCTACCAGGATAATGGAGGTGCACAGATATCCCTTGTAGTTTCTTTAAATGAAAAAAAGTTCTGTAGGCAATCCTCTGAGTTAATCCAACCCATCAGCTTCCTGGACAAGCTTAAGAGCCCCTTCCAATTGGTTAGATACAAGCATTTTTAATGAAAAGAAAAAAAGAAGGAATGCTCATAAATTTAGATATATACTCCTTCAATTGTGAAAAGCTGAAGAGCTTCATAAATCAGGGCTGAGAAAACTTGACTGTACTAGAATTGCCTTCCTGGGCCTAAAGATAACTCCCAGCTCACTTTGTAGAGTCAATGAGATTATTTAATTAGATTTAAATTTCAAATCCAAAGCAACTTAAGAGCAGTTCACAACAACATAATACAAACACAAAATATAACGTAACAATATCAGCAAGTATATAGACAACTGGAAGGGAAAGAGGGAGAGGGAGAGAGAGAGAGAGGCATATATAAAAAAAATCTAACATGCAGATCATATTCAGCCATATAGTGGGGACTGCCCTCTCTGATGTAAATTAAAAAAATAAGAGAGGAAATGAATTGAGGAATTTGGAAGTGGGTACATTCTATTTCAGTGGTGGCAAACCTATGGCACGGGCGCCAAAGGCGGCACTCAGAGCCCTCTCTGTGGGCACGCGTACCATCGCCCCAGTCCTAGGCCTTCAGCTGGGTTTTATAAAACCTTTTCGCTTTAGGCCTCCGCCTCCGTGTGCAAAAAAAAAAAAAAGGTCCAATCAATCAGTCAATTTCAACTTCTCGTGGGGAAAAAAGATCTTGCAAAGTTGGAATTGATTGATTGAACTTTTTAGTCCCACCCAGTCTGCCGTTACCACCGCAGCCATGCCCACCCAATGGGCCACACCCACCCAATGGGCCACACCCACCCGGCACCCGATGATGCATAAGTGGGTTTTGGGTTGCAATTTGGGCACTCAGTCTCTAAAAGGTTCGCCATCACTGTTCTATTTCAAGGGATACCTCATTCTGACTATGGGAACGACCTAAAAAAAATGTGGAATCAGGAATTTAACTGTGCTGTCTCTTCGACAGTCAGAAAAACCTGTCCCCTTAAAGTTAATGGGGATTTGCTGCCAGTTGAAATGTGCACGATAAAAAGATCACAGCCCAATTGCATGTCTGATTGTCATGTACTTACCAAAGCCAGGAACTCGGATACCTCTCTCCTCCCGTCCTCCAATTACACTAAAATTCACAGTGTAGTTGGGTTTGGGTTGTGTGCCCAACTTGGCTTGTTCCGGAGGTTTGGGCTGGGGTGAAGGTTGCCATGAAGTGCTGGTGGTTTGTGGCTTGCTTGTTTGCCACTGAGCCCCCGCTGGTTTTTGAGTTGACTTGGAAGCAAAACTGCCAGCTGAGAATCCTCCACTAGATGTTCCTAGATAAGAAACAAGTGGACATTTTAATAATCTAAATTATGTCTCTAGTCAGAAGGGAAACTTTTCCAAGGGCTCCTCTATTGCAACGTTAGTAGGAAGGGTGATCTTAAGTATAACTAGAAAGCAGCACTCTGAGCCAAAACCCTTAGTACAAAGTATGACAGGATCTTTCAATAGTCCGAGCTGCAAAATCAGTGACTGCCAAGTACTGATATGCTCTGTAGGTAGTCCTCAACTTACAGCCGCAGCTGTAAGCCCAAAATTCCTGTTGCTAAGTGAGACAGCTGTTTTGCCCCATTTTATGACCTTTCTTGTCACAGTTGTTAAGTGAATCGCCGCAATTGTTAAGTTAGTAACACGGTTGTTAAGTGAATCTGGCTTCCCCACTGACGCTGCTTGTCAGAAGGTTGCCAAAGGGGCGGATCACATGATCCTGAAACCCTGCAACCATCATAAATATGAACTAGTTGCTAAGTGTCCAAATTTTGATCACGTGACTAGGGCAGAGGTCTCCAACCTTTTGGGCACCAGGGACCGGTTCTGTGGAGGGAGGTTTTTCCGTGGACCGGAGGGGGCGTGGTTTTGTGTGCTGCCTGCATCCCACAGATGGGGCTTTGCTTGCTTGTGTGGACCGGTTGTTGGCATGCTGCGGCCCGGTACTAGTCCACGGAAAGGGGGTTGGGGACCCCTGAACTAGGGGGATTCTCTAATGTAAAAAACAGTTACAAGTCACTTTTTTCAGTGTTGCTGTAACTTTGAAGAGTCACTAAATGAATGGTTGTAAGGACCACCTGTGGTCTAAGCTAGCTTTGAGAGACACAACAAAAAGGCCTGCAGTACCTCTTAGTGCTGGTCTTTAAACCTATGTTAAATGGTGGAAAGCATATAAACCTTCTTTCTGTGAGAGGGAAGGGAAGGGACTAGTAACCAAGGCTGTTGAAATAACCTCCATATTTAAAGAAGAGGACAAAATAGAGGGCCAGATGCTTGAGAAGCTCAAACTGGGAGAAGCTACTGACATCACACCCGTTAGTGTAAATAACCTCCAATACCACCAGCAACCATAAAAAGAAACTGAAAAAAAATCATGGCACACTCCAAAGTGCACGGCCACATTTGAGAAAATGCAAGTTGCCTGAATACAACAGAACAAAGGAAGGGTATTCATTTTTCAAAATAAAGGATGACTTGTCACTGGCAACAGATTTTTGTAAGCGAGGGTTGCACATGGACATATTTAAATACTTAGCACATTTAGAAGTAGGGCTAGCCAAATTGGGTATTCTTTCAATGTTTTGGACTACAGCTTCATCAACCTCAACCAACATGGCCCATGGCAAGGGAATGTGAGAGTTGCTGTTCAAAACACCTGAAAAAGGCCAGTTTCCTACCCTGATGGAATACTAATCCTCATACTTGTATTACATTTTTTTATTACTTTTTTTTCAGAAAGGGGAAAATGCACAAAGAGAACAACAACCTAATAACAAAGCCATCAGGAGTCCTGTGCTGAGTTGGCAGTATACAAATGTAATAACTAGTGAGTAAGTAAAGATTAAATTAAATGGTGCAAAAAAAGCTTCCTGTGCAAGAATTGTTCATCTAATAATCCAGCCCCGATTCTTCTGACTGTCAGAGTTAATTGGAGAGGCAACTCTTTTTGTATCTCCTGGAGGGGTTCCAAATCCTTCTTGAAATATGAAAAGAGGAGGGTGAAAAAGAGAAAGGGAACCTCACCGGGAAGGAATTCCAACCTGCAGATTATTACCCACAGGCCATGCAGGTAGTCCTCAACTTACAACATCCAGTGACCGTTCAAAGCTACAACAGTCACTGGAAAAAGTGACTTACGACTGTTTTGCACACTTTGAAACATTGCAGCATCCTCATGGTTACTTGTACACGATCAAAAATAAAACGCTTGGCAAGTGACTCATGTTTATGGCGATTGCAGTGTCACCTTTTGTGACCTTCTACCAAGCAAAGTCAATGGGGAAATCAGCTTTACTTAACAACCGTGTTACTAACTTAACAACTGCAGTGATTCACTTAACAACTGTGGCAAGAAAGGTCATAAAATGGGGCAAAACTCACTTAACAAATGTCTTGCTTAGCAATATAAACTTTGGGCTCAACTGTGGTAGTAAGTCGAGGGCTACCTGTCGACAGTTGATTTTGTTGCCCTTTTAGAGACTCCTGAGGTAAATAGTTTCATAGAGGGCTCCAGAGGGCTTTCATCCAATTACTTTTCAAATACTCTGTTTCACCTGTCAAGTAGGCACAATGACAGGCTGCTCTCTCTTCTAACTCAATTTCAGTTTGTCCCACCGGTCTGTCAGATTGACCCTCTCCATACATTTTGCACAAATTCCAGTTCAAAAGGTGGACCAGACTCAACTCTCCAATTTTTGAAATTAAAGGGCAAGGTGGGCCTCCAAGGAGCGGCAAAGGATCAAAAACAACAGCACTGAATTATTTCACAGAGCCTGGGCAAACTCCTCTGGAAGAGAATGGGAGGGAAGGCTACAAACAGTAGCAACAGGGGACTGAACTCCCTGTAAGTCAAATGGAAAACTACCATTAAAATTAAAAAATGAGTGATGAGTAATGACTACGGCCGTTCATTAGTTATACCGACACTTACCTGGAAGGCCAGTTCTCAAGTTTGCAAGGTCAGCAAAAGGATCCGAATTCTGCGATTTTGCTTGATTGGAGGAATGACCCAAGGAGCCACTTGGTGGCCCTCCTGTTGTGAAAGTTGGGCCTGCATAGTAGTAAATACAAATATTCGATATTATTATTATTTTTTTAACAGCAAGTATTCATTTTGGGGCCTGTTTGATATCTTTTCCAGCCACAGCAAGCATTCACTGGCTTTTCCACAGTCCCCCAGTCTGCAAGCATGTTTGGATTGTTGCCATATTGTAATCTATGTTAATACGCAGTTATCAGATTGAATATATTAGTGGATGCTTAGTATACAAATACACACGCAGAGAGAGAAGGAGGGGAGGGGGGGAGAGAGACTGACTGACTTGTGCTATGATTTTGTGGAAAGGTGCAAAGTGGCAAGTAAAAGAGATGAAGTATGTGAGACCCACCCAAAGCAAACCACAAAACCAAAAGAATCTTTCTAGTAGATGGTAGCATGTCCAAAAGCATCAGAACAAAGGTTTTTATAAAGACAGAACAAGATAATCAAAACAAGGTGCAGTTTTCCCAACAACAGATAGCTTCCACGTGTAAATATATGAGAAAAGTATTGTACTGGTATTGGCCAAATTTTGTTGCAAATTAGGTAAGTGTATGGAAACTGCTGTCCTTCAAGCAATCACTTGGCTGTGATGTGCCATCTTCATCCTTATGAAACTTAAAACATAATCTCAGTTACCAGCTGAAACTGGTATATAGGGATGCGTGTGTGTGTATGTGTATGTGAGTGAAGCTTTTAATTCAGAAAGTTAATGTGCATTTATTTCTCTGTGTCCCAATTCTTTGGATAACTAAGAACAACAAGACCAGAATTGTTATTAGGACTCCCCAAAAACTCCAGGTAGAATCCAGAAGCAGAAACACTCTTTAATATTATAGGATCCATTAATCCGTGATTGCTGTGGAAGCAGTTTTGGTAGCAGATTAAGTGATATATAATTGGCGAAAATCAACCATGTTTTTATAACGCAGGAGAAGGGAAAATACAAATCAGAGTAAAGCATCTCAGTTCAGAAAGAACCTTGCTCATGCAACTTTGACTGACATTGAACAAATCCGATTGGCGCGTTGGATTAATTTGCTTCCTTACATCAAGGGATTAACTGAGATGCTTTACAAGGGTGATTGCTCAGTTTATTCTTTAGGATGCAGGTAGGGAAGCTGTATAAACCAATGTCTTTTATTGACTGTGCGTGATATCTATTCTTTGATTCATTTCATTCTAATTTCCTTTAATGACCAAAATAAGATGTCGTGCTTCATCTCTGATTTCCCTGCCTGCTGTTGTTTTATCCTGAAATTGCAGCAGCAGTTAAGACCACAATGAGAAAAAGTGCCAGAAAACAAATTTGGCAGGACATAAGATACCGACTAAAGTAGCCAATTGACCCGGCCTGCTTATGCCTGAAACTTTCCCCATCCCCATATAATGAAGTTTCATTTTCAGTTCTAAAACACATACAACTCTAGGTGAAGGCTGTTGCCAATTCTCCTTTATTACTCAACCACCATTTAGGTCTGAACATATTCTAAAAATTGCAGCAAAATGGAATGGTAGCAATTGCTAATGTTAAAGCTTGCTGTCCCTTGCTATTGCTTTTCAAAAACAAAATCCAAAAGCCAAGGGTTTTTTGCAGGTATATTTTAAAGACACTGCATTATAAAGCTGTCAGGTCTCTCCAGTGCTATCTCGTGGTCCTATTAGTTTTGCCTGCTTGCTTTTGGTGGCTAAAAATACAAGCGACGGCCCCATACCATACCTTCCAAAGTTGATTTCTTGGGTGCTGTTGGGACAGTGGTGTCAGTCCAAGAATCCCAACCCCCTAAAAGGTCTGGCTGGCTTGCTGAAGAAGTTATTTTAGGTGGCTCTGGGGCCAAATTGCCTAGAAGGACACAAATCAAAATCCACACATTAGAGTAAAAGCGTGCGCAAAAAAAAATAAATTGCATAAACTTAACATTCTGCAGATGAAAATATAGTTAGGACACTGGATTTTTCTCCTTTCGATTTGAACTCAACTGGTACAGTTGCTCTCCATCTATTTGTACGGGTGCTGAGAAGTCCCCTAACATTTTCACTGCCTGAAAGGGTTAAACTCCCATATATGGTGAACAGGAACAGATAACTTTCCTAATGATATCTGATTCCAGTTTTTAACATATGCACGGAGGAAAGGATTAGCTGGGATCCTCCAAAGCCCATGCAGCAAAACATCATCTCTGAATAAGGACATGAAGCACGGATTTCCCCCATCCCAAAGCACATACATTTATCTACTTGCCTCCAAAGTTCACAAACCAGGTTAAATCAAACGACTATATTGGCACTAATTGCTATATCAAACAGGATAGTGAATTATGAATAAAGAAGCATGAACAGGAGAGGGATAGGGAACCAAAAAAAAGGGGGGGAAAGTGGGGCATGTGTCTTCATACAGCGCTTATAAGCATCCAGGAGAAATATGACAAAATCTGAATTATATTATCCCTGAACTAATCTAGCAGGGTTCTTTTGTTATTAAAACAGTAACCCTGAAAATAAGGAAGCCTCCACGCCTCACTAGCATTCCAATGGAACGTTTCTCAAACTCAGCAACTTTAGGAAGTGTAGATTTCAATTCCCATTATTCCCCAGAATTCCAGGAGTTGAAATCCAGGCATCTTAAAGCTGCTGAGGCTGAGAAACCCTGTTCTAGCAGAAGATTGTGCTTTAGAAACTGTACTGTAGATATGGGAATTGACAAGCAGTTACCCATTGATTACGGTATTCCTTTATATGTTCATCTATGCTTGGCTTTAAAAAATAATAATAAATCCCTGTTTGTGTTGGATTTTATCAAAACACTAATTAGCCGTGCCAATGAGTATTCAAAAGCTTTGCTATTTATAATCTCCCAGAAAGGTTCACTGCATTGTAAAATAGATACATAAAAACTGCAGTTCAAGGGATTTAAGCTATTACCCACCAAAAATCAGGATATTTACTGTATGTTATAAAACAAACCGTAGTATCACTTTAGCAGTTATGCTAATAAATGTTACAATGCTATTCAACTGTGCTATTTTGATACGAGAATATTAAATTAGAAGTAGACAATCTGGTGCGATACACATACTCTATAATCATCCAGCTCATGGTGAGATTAGTCCAAAATAGCTAGCTTGCCTCCCCCTCTGTATTAAATCATGGTCTTTTAGAATGCAGGCCTAAATATACCCATAAAATAGGGTATGGGTATATTTAGGTCTGCATTCTAAAAGACCATGATTGTCTCATAAAAGTTTTCTGAATGTCAAAGAAAGGAATTTTCCTGTTGTTCATTTCTGAGTAGGTATTAAAATAGCAATGCTCCTTGATGTTACCAGTTTAAACTTCTATCTGAATATCTGAAACCTTAGAATATCTTATCAAATGGCTATGAAAGATAAGACAGAACTGGAATATTTCGAAATCTGGGACAAATTTTATCGCTGGTATGAATCAAGGAGAACTGCTCGGATCTTAAGCTAACGATAGGATTGAAGCATACACATAATTGTATATATAATTGTATATATAATTGTATTATGTAGAAGAATGAGGTGTATATAGAGGTTAAGGATGATGTATTAAGTTTTTGTATCACGAGAAACAAATTGTTAGGAATATTTACTCTGGAATGCCACGTATGTCCATTTTTGTTTTAATTGTATTATAAATAAAAAGATTTAAAAATAAAAAAAAAATAAAAAAAAAAAATAGGGTATGGGTATATTTAGGTCTGCATTCTAAAAGACCATGATTGTCTCATAAAAGTTTTCTGAATGTCAAAGAAAGGAATTTTCCTGTTGTTCATTTCTGAGTAGGTATTAAAATAGCAATGCTCCTTGATGTTACCAGTTTAAACTTCTATCTGAATATCTGAAACCTTAGAATATCTTATCAAATTATTTTTGATAAGGAGCTTAAGCATTCCCAAATTACCAGAAGTAAAGCTTTGTTAAGGCCTTAACAGAACCTTATCATCACTATGAGCACCGCCTAGCCCAAACTTATCCTGTGCGGCACACCACATATACACCCTCCCCAAATAGAGATAGCTATAATTTCCAGAAGTCCTGCATATCTGGAATATGTATGCCAAGATGGGGAAAGTTTCAACAAGAAGTAGATATTATCATACTGTTCCCATATCACGCTCAATACTAGGTTTCTTCAACTTGGTTCTTTGCCATAATTATGGCTGGGAACAAGAGTTCTCAGTCCTTCATTCGAGGAACTGGGAGAGAAGGAGGCAGAGAGAATCAAAATGGTGTCCAACACAATTGGATCCACACTGGCTGGGTCTTTCAAGGGTAGTACTTAGCAGTCAAAACAAGAGCACAAAAACATATTTCATGGGGAAAGGTGGATATTTCATATTATCAGCCATTGCATGGCTTTCACCCCATTGTGTTTTTGTAAAAAAAAAATAAAAATTGGAAAGTGCAGGGTTTCAGACTTGATCCCCCCAAAAGTTGCTTTAGAACGCGCTGAGCAGAACTAGCACTTGTCTGCCACAAAATAGCTGTATTTTTTTCCTGGAATTAAATCACCTTTTAGAAAGTAGATCAGAAGTGCTCCACAGTTGTAAAAGATTACAGTGCAATCTCAGTATAATTGATTTGTCAACTGAAGCATCCTACATAGAATCCACATGTCTAATACATAAAAACTCCTGTTCACAATTACAGTTAAAATGCCTGCTAAACTAGCATAGCTCAGATATTTTATAAAGCACTTGTGAAAGATGTAAAGTGGTTGGTGTAGTAGTTAAGGCACCAGGCTAGAAATGGTGTGGCCATGAGTTCTAGTCCTGCCTTAGACTCAAAGCCAGCTGGATGACTTTGGGCCAGTCACTCTCTCTAACCCCTAGGAAGGAAGGAAGAAAATTTGAGGAATTTGTCCAGGGAGTGGCCAGGGGTTAAAAACTGACTCAAAGACACAAATAAAAGTATATATAATGCAACTGCCATATGTTGTTAACACAGGCAGGTATCGGATTCTACAAAAAACCACACATGATGTCTACATTAGCCTCAATTGTCAAACGTCTAGTTGCTACCGTACAAACAGATGTCTTCTCAACTCAGAAGATCTTTTAATTCTGTAACTAAAAATGACAGACAAGATTTCTTCAAAATAAGATACAGGTTTGGCATGACATCGGATTTAAGCTCACCTCAGATCTATGTTTAACATCTCTTAATTAGCCAGAAAAGCCATCAGAATTCAATTGCAGAGCTGCCTGCTTGCATTTATCACTGTCGTCTGCTGACACTTAAGCCCCTTCTACACATCGCAGGGCCTCTCCTCTCCTTTTAGAAGTTTCACTACCAAGATCTTTCCTAAAACTTTTCCAAGTGAAACAGGCAGGTTCATAAATGTCTTGCTTTGAAAATCTAACTTCTACCATTTCAACGCAGACTGAATTAAACAAACCAAAAAGACGCGGCCAATTTCTCAGTCGAGTAGAACAATATAGTTGAGAACGAAAAGAGGCTTCGTCAGTCAGTGACAGAAGCAACAGCTTTGCACCCACGTTCAATATACACAACTGTCTGATTTAAGGATCATAGATTCTGTTTGACATTTGGAAGTCTTCCAACTTAAAACAAATGTATAAATATATACTCTTTTTAAAGTGGATACTGGGAATATACTGCAGGTCAAGTAAAGGAATTTGTAAAATTAAAGCTAGAGGCATCTTATAGGGCAGTGGTTCTCAACCTTTTTAATGCCGCGACCCCCAGCCGGTCGTAAGTCGAGGACTAAACCGGTCATAGGTCGAGGACTAAACCAGTCGTAAGTCGAGGACTAAACCAGTCGTAAGTCGAGGACTACCCAACCGGTCGTAAGTTAAGGACTTTCCCTGCCCGGGAGCACCGCGCATGCGTGGTTCCGCCCCCTGCGCCGGCCGAGGCGTAGCTGGCAAGCGGCAGAGACGGAGCAGGCCGACCACCAGCTGGCCCAGCTCAAGGGAGGTAAGGCACCCGCCGGAAAAGGGAAAAAAAATGGCGGACAGCCTTGCTTGGCGACCCCCGTGAAATGGTCAATCGACCCCAAATGGGGTCGCGACCCATAGGTTGAGAACCGCTGCTATAGGGGATACTTTGCTCTCATTGCTATAATGTAAGTTTGAATGTAAATTCATTCTAGTTTTCAGTTGCATCAACTTTTGGTTTTATACCACCCTCATTTTTGGCAATTTTTCAATTAAGCAATTGCTTAAATTCTCTCATCTCCTCAGTAAA